CTAGCAGCTTCTTCATCGTTATACGTATTAGAATGTGTTTTTGGTTTAACACTTTATCAAGCGTTTAATCTAGATTTGATCAAAGCTAGGTTGATCGAATATTGAATGTATATATTGCTTCGATTTGATGCTTTTAAGCATGGCTTGGTGCTTGGAAAATCTGTTGAAGAAGATAAGTTCATACTCGAGAAGTCTTTTTTTTTTTCTTTTTTGTTAATGGTGGCGTAACTTACTTTCTAATTTACTGCTATTTATTTGTTTTATATCGAGTTGATCACTCAAGTTTTTTAATTTGTATAGGATTACGATGCAGGGATGTATTTGGCGATCACACAACCAAACATGTAGGGAGGTCTCAATTTCGTAAACCTCATTTCTTAAGAATCTTTCTCTAATCTCTATTTTGACTCTACACTTATTAGTGTCTATCTCTTTAACTTCTTTTGATCTCTCTCTGTTGAAATTTTGGTTTATGTTAAAATTTTGTAAACCCTAACGATTAAGTCGCAAATATATCTTTATTTAGCTGGAAAAAGTAAAACTAATAATAAAGGAGGAAACCCTAGATTGATCGGATCTATAAATATATATATATATATATATATCATGTCACTTCTCATTAGTTTTTTTCCCTTTTATGTTGTTCTTGTATTTTAAGTCGTGTTAGTTTTTGAATTCATGTGTGATCTACTGGTATTTTGTCTAGCATCCCCTCTTATGATTATCGTTTTTTGTTTCGATGTTGATAGTTTTTTTTAATACAGATCTGATTTGATCATGGATTTTTTTATTTTTTATTTATTTGAAGGTTGCATGCTGATACAAGCACTGTCAATGGCTTATATGACTTTGGATAAGCAGATCTTCAAGGATTGAAAGAACGATGATGGTGGATCAAAGAACGCCACTCAAGGGTGTGAAAGCTCTTGTGATGAGTTCACAAACCTAGTCTCAAGAAATCTCATACAAGAGACATAGATTTAATGTTTACTAAGTAACGGAATCCCACCTTACTTAGATAAACAAAAACAAAACCTAAGCTTTAGAGAGAAAACTCTTTCTTTCTATTTTTCCAAAAATCTGTATATATTTTTACATTGACAAGTGATGAGCTTTTATAGGCTCATTTACCAGACTTTCAAAGTCAAAGAAATTAATTACAATAGAAAATTATGCACCATTTAAAAAGAGGAGAAAAATCAGCTAAATTAAATTAATGGTCTTGTTCCTATCAGATTTAATGGAGATGAATACTTTGTATCTAGACAACTTCTTGATATACCCATGATCTGATTTTCTTCTAGAAACTTCTTGAGCTTCTGGGCTTAATTTGAATTGGATCATTTGTTGATAGATCAAAGATGTGATTAGTGTTATCATGGTTGAATCACATGGTGAATAACTTGGAAACAGATGAGGTAGCTACCAATCGGTGATAGAATTCAGAAAAATGTTTGAGGTTTGTACTGGTTTATTTTCTTGGTAATGTGTGTTTTTTCCACTAATGTTGCCTTTAAAGTATCTTTGTCAATTACCTTCTCTTGCTGTTTTTGCTTTGAGTATTCTCAAATTCTTTATTTTTCCTGTTAGTTGTTTGATTAATACGAATACAAATCTATGCTGATTTTTCTTTAGTTTTAAAGGGAGCGTGGTGAAAAATATGATCACTAAGTTGTAGCTATCTACCAGTGATATAATACAGATAAGAATAGTTTGTTTGCTTTATGTTTGATTGGTGATATAATACATAGGATCTATCTGGTAAAAAGAAAAATAGAAGTTAACCCTTTTTACAACAAAAAAAAAGAAAAATAAAAGTGAAGCAATGGTATCTGGCAAATGAGTTGTTCAAGAGATGAAGAAAGATAAAAAGAAAACAAAATTGTGAATAAGATGGAGAATAAGACGAAATCAATGGAAAAGAAGAAAAAGAGAAAAACGGGAAGACTGAAGAGAATAAAAATCAAAATCAGAATAAAAGAAATTATGACAAGATGATGATGTGAAGAATAAGAAAGAAAAAAAGATGAATAATGTGGAGAAGAATACCAAAACAAGAGGAAGGAGAAGAGAATGGCATTGGAATGGGAGAAAAACAGAAGCCGAATAAAAACTGAGAAAAAAGAATGAGAATTACAAAGAAGAAAAAGAAAACAAAAAAATATAAAGAAAAGAAGAAAGAGATAAAAGTAAAAGAAAAAATGATAAATAAAAAAACCGAATGTAAAGAAGAAGTAGGAGTTAAAGAAGATGAATTAGAAAGAAGAATAAAAGTTAAATGACTTAAAATTTTTATCTAATCCAAGTTAGACCAAAAAGTGATAAAATATAAATATATATATATACATTTTTCTTGGTTTAAATTGTATAAAAAATATACATTTCCACTCTCTCTGTTCTCTCTTTGCTATCTTTCACCGAAGGAAAGTTTTTCTCTGTTTTTGTTGTACAAATTTCGATTAATATCGGATGGGTGTTTCCGGTTAAACGAATCTAATAATTCTGACTATGATCGGATTTTACTATGTTTTAGTTTGTTTTTCTTTGATCTCCGTTCATCGAATCTTCTTTTGCTATCTTTATTTCTTGATTTCTTTCTACTTAAGTAATTGAAATCCTTCACTAATCCTTAGTGGAGTGAAGGATCTTTTCTCATGATAGTAGAATCATTGGTCTTGTATGGTAAAGGAAAAGATTTTCCGGTTGTTCAGATGTTGTTCTGCCCTATCTCCTTCACGCAGATCTGGTGACAAGCGTTGGAATCCTCCTTCTTTGACTTTAGGCATCATACTCTCTTGGATGGGAGTTATCAATCTCCCCAAGTCCCCTTAAAGAATGGAGAGTTTCAGATTTAACCCATATTTCAAAGTCAAACACAAAACTAACCTCTTTTTTTCTCTCTCCAACTTTTGCCATTTTCTCACAATTTTATCCTTCTCACTTAAACTATTAACGAAAATGCCATTATACATCTATTATTTCAATTTTTCTTTAATTTGGTTAAAGTCTCATTGGACCTTCTAAAGACCTTTTTATTACGAGAATGTCATCTTCTTCAATTTCTTCAACCACCATGAACAACCATGAAAATGGAATAAATGCTTCTCAACCAATTTTAAAGCTGTAATAAGTAAATATTTGAGCTCATTCACTCATAACCTTCCTCATTCTTTCATAATTTCTTCTCCAAAACATCTGGGCTAAGTTACAATGCCAAAAGTCATGCATTTTTGGTGATTTCTGGTTACTTAACATCTGTGTTGCTTATTTTTGGTGAAATCCTGAGTTCTGGGTGCTTAAAAGAACTGTAGCCAAGCTCAATTTTGTTAAAGGTAATCGTCGCACTTCAATTTTTCCATATTTCAGTTTTCATATCGCGAAAGTAGACTTCTCGTGAAGTATACTGAAGTCTACTAGTCAACATAAGGTTATTTTTGCAATTGACTTTTAAAAAGTAGACTTCATTAAACCGCACGAGAAGTCTACTCGATATCCTTTGAAGACAAAAAAAAGCATAGTAGACTTCATTTGAAGGCTTAAGAAGTCTACGAAAGAAAAGAGGTTATTTTTGTAGTTGACCGTATTTTGACTTTTTAATGTAGACTTCTTTCTAAAGTCTACTCTTTATGTCTGCACAAGAAGTCTACTTTAAAGTTACTTTTGTAGTTTGACCAAAAACGTATAGGTCATTTTAGTGTTTGACTAAAGTTTTTCAAAAATAAAAAAAAAATTAAAAAATTCCAAAAAACGTCAGTAGACTTCACAAAGAAGTCTACAAAATGTAGACTTCTTTGGGAAGTCTACTTATGGTGTTCGGTCAAACTTAGAAGGAATCCTTTTTTGAGTAGACTTCATTGTGAAGTCAACTAAAAAAATTCAATTGCAAAAATAACCTATTTTGTTCCGTAGACTTCTATTTAAAAAGTAGACTTCAAAAGTAGACTGTCAGAGAAGTCTACTCTTACATGAGGTCTACAATAGAAGTCTACTTTGTTAGTCAATGCATCGGTCAAATGCTAAAGTAACATTTTTGGCCGGAAGTCTACTTCTGAAGTCTACTGAAGGAAAAGTCAACGGATTGGTCAATTGCAAAAATAACCTGTTTTTTAGTAGACTTCTTTAGTAGACTTCACTATGAAAAAGTAGACTTCTCCTCCAGTCTACGCTTGAAGTCTGCTTTAGAAGTCTACTTATTGCAATTTTTTTAAAAACGCGTTTTAGGCAAATTTATAAAGTATTTTTTAAATTTTTTGGATTAGAATTGTTTCTTAGTAAGTGATTGAACTACCCAGTGAATTTCATTTCATTTCATTCGATATTTATTGTTGAATCAGAAGTTTCTATTTTTAAGCTACTTAGCTTATCAAAGTAGACTTCAGTAGACTTCTCCTAAGTCTACTAATGAAGTCTAATTGGGAAGTCTACTATTTGTATTTATTTTAAAAACGCTTTTCAAAAATATTTATAATGTTTTTAAAAAATTTTAGGTTTGGATATGCGTGTTAGCAAGTGGTTGAACTACTCAATAATTTTCATTTGATTTAAGTCGATAATTAGTGTGAAATCAATTTTTTTGATTTATAAGCTAGTTAGCTTGTAAAAGTAGACTTCTCCAGCAGTCTACGGATGAAGTCTGCACACGAAGTCTAATTGCTAGAAAAATTTGTGTTCTATGTGTTTGCCATAATTTGGTTTATAATTATGTTTGCTAATATGATTTTTTGTGTTTTTTGATATAGAATAGTTCAATTGAAAATAGGAGATGGAAGAAAACTTGTATTTTGTGCAATGTCTTTGTATTCTTGTTTACAAGTTAACATTTATAGTACATACAAAATTAAGTCACACAAGTTGATATTACATACAACATTAAGTTGATAAAGTGACATAAGCTGATTTAAAACATTGTCTTGGACACTTGGTAAAAGACAATATGTGCAGTCAAGACTTTGATCATGTTTAAGGTTTGTTATCATACCCCTTAAAAAGATAAACTGAAAAGATCTTCATATATTAACATCAATTTGCATTACATGATGCATATGTTTTACAATTTTTCATATTGATATTCTGCTTAATGACTATAACAAGAAAAACCAGAATAGACAAAGGATTAAGTTAAATAGACCCAAAAAAATAGTGCACGTAAGTGCTCATGCCATAAGACGCCGATGCTCCACATATCTGCTTCAGTGCTATAAGACCTATGGAGTACTTCCGGTGCAACATAGTACGCACTTCCTACAACATCATTGAGACGCTGATCTGCAAATATAAAAGATTAATTCATCAGAAAACTTTACTGTCAAAGCCTGACTTCTATATGCAGAATCATGTAATGAGAAAGAGGAACAAAGAAATAGATCACTACCGTATCTAATGAAATCAGACAAGCCAAAATCAATGACCTTGAGTATTGCATCCTCATTTCTGCTGGTAAAGAGAAAATTCTGCTTACAAAAATGTACCATATGTTAGAGCAAAGAAGAGGGAGTTAATTGATACATATCAGCAACTTAGTGGGGCAGACTGTGTACCTCCGGCTTCAGATCACGGTGCACAACACCTTGAAGGTGAAAAAATGCTGTTGCAGACAGAATCTGTACAAGAACGTTTGGCATCGACTTCAGGGTATCGACCACCTCTGCAGTAATATCCAAGACAATAACACAAGGTTAAACCCATATTCAATGCAAAGCTAACAAGCCTGAGTAGTCCGAATTTAAGCAAGAAGATTCAAAAAAAAAAAATGTACTCTGGATTTACCTCGCCAAAATCCTGTCCAATAGCTCTCCACCTTCGCATAACCTGAGAGCATATTAGAGAGGAAGATTGAATATCTCAAGTTGACTCATTTATATAGTTTGGTTGCTATATATCAAATTATTATCAACGATGTAGAGTTAGACTACTTACTCCATAACAACAAAGACATTATCAGCGTCCTCGTATACATCGTAGAACTTTACCATATGCCTATGCCCAGACAAAGCTTCCAACAGTTTCACTTCTCGACGAACATCTTCAATCGATAAAGCCGATGTCATCTGAAAAGAAAAACGCCACCGCCGAGATTGAGCCGTTCACCGCCACCGCTCTAATCCGAACCCTAGTTCACTCTCATCCGGAAGATTAATCTTCCCCACTTCCGATTCTAACCTGTCACGCATGTCAATTAAGAATCCAAATATATGAAAGAGAGAGAGTCTTTCAACGGACAACCAAAGAGAGTAACAATGGTTTACCATTTAGTGCCGGCTACCAACGAGAAATCCGGCAATGAGGAGGGAACCAGCTGCGGCAATGAAATCGCCCCTGAGATGTCGCAAACAACGAGTGATGCGCCGTTTAAGAGAGAGGCGAGAGTTTTTTTTTTCCACTAAAAAATTAGGGTTACATCTTATATATATGACTAATATTTTTTGGTTTAATTTTGGTTTAATTTTTAGTTAGGAAAATTATTTTCGATTTAATTTCCGGTAAAGTTAATTTATTCGGTTTAGCAGACTTCTATATTGAAATCTACTAAGTGTAAACCCTAAATCAAATATTTTGTTCTTCTTAATTTGAAATCATAAATTTAAACTAATGAATATAAAAAAATAATTTATATACATTAGGATTACTAATATCTAATTTATGATTACAAATTTGAAACCAATATTATTTTTTATAATTTTTAAAATTAAATTTTATGATTTAATTATATAGTAGACTTCATAAGCTGTGTTAGAAGTCTACTAGTAGACTTCTATTAGTCTAAAGTAGACTTCACAAAGGTTTAAATCGTAATTCGGACATTCGTTTTTTTATTTAGTCATACAGGAGTATATTGTCTTTTCACTACCCTTTTAGGTTATTTTTGCTAAACATTACATCAAGGGTTTACTTTTGTATTTAAAATCAATTTTTAGGTCATTTTTAACAAAAACTCCTTTAAAGAAAACCTTTTTTGTATTTGTCGGTGATGGATTTTTTAGGAAGAAGTGAAATTTGCTAACCTCAGATGTACACCGGATCAAATCGGAGGAATTAAAAAAGATTAAAGAGCAGTGGTCTGGTACGGCGTCGCGGTGGTCAACGGTGGATGCATCGGTGAAGAATTTTTTCCAGTGATGGATAAGCGGCGCTGCAACACATTCATCTTTCTGCCTCACACGTGTTTTGGAATTTCATGACAAGTTTACACGTGTAGTATTAGGTGGATTGTAATGGGGTTAATTAGGTCTTATTTATCATGTTGGGGCTTCTTGAATATGTTGTTGTAATCTGCTCTGCCTTTTTGGGTTTTTATAAATCAAATGGACAACCAAAAAAAAAAATTGTATAAACAGATTCAAACCAAAACGGAATAGAACTAAACTACTATTACTTTTTCTAACCAGAAGATTAAAATGAAGAAGATGAAGTAGAAGTAGGTGAAGTGAGAAAGAGACGGAACATAATCAGAAAAAAAAGAATTTATAAAAGACAAAGAACCCCAAGGAGAAGTAAGAAACAGAGGATGAAAAAGGCTAACAAAAATTGAAAAAAAAAAAAGAAGAATAGGAAGAACTGAGAGAATACAACGATGATGAAGAAGAAGTCAACGAAGATGAAAAACAAGTTAGAAAATATGAGGAAGAAAAAAAACAAAAGATAAAAAAGAAGTATAATTTGAAGACGATAATAAAGACCAAAAAAAAAGGTGATAATAAAAACCAAAGAAAAAGGGGATGAATGAGAAAATCGAAAAATACATAAGAGGAAGAAAAATTATAAGTCAAAGACAATGATAAACAAAAGGGAAAAGATGACGAAGAAAATCCAAAACATGAATAAGAAGAAGAAAACAAATAAACTTTATGAAGAAGGGGGAAAAGGAAAAAATGACGAACAGAAAATAATACATTAGAAGAAGAATAGTAATAAGAATCCATAGGATAATGCGAAAACGTTGAAGGATAAAAAATGAAGAATTTGGGCAAAAGAAAAAAGAGACAAATGCGTTAAAATGAGAAAATTAAGAAGAAGATGAATAAAACCAAAAAAATAATAAAAAAGATGACAAACAAAAAAGATAAAGAATAAGAAGAAGAATATTACAAAACGTAAAAGGAATTAAGAAGAATAATACAAACTAGAAAAGGAAGAAAAAATAGAAGTAGAAAACCATGAAGAAGATAAAAGAAAATATGAGGAATAAAAAAATCTTAAGACAAATAAAAGGAAGAAGACAAAAAGACTAAAGAATATGAAAAGAAAAAGGAAACGATAAAGAAGAAAAAGATCCGAAAATTGAATACGAGGAAAAATAAGAGGACGAAATCAATGAAGGAGAAAAAGGAAGAAGACAGAAGAAAATAAAATCAGAATAAAAAGATTCAAGACAAAATGATTATGATTAGATAATATGTGTACATGCTATTTATGTGCTTCTACCTAACAAAATTATTCAAAACTGATTTTATTTTGCGGTAAGATGGTTAAGCCATAAAAAATATGAAAAATATACGTTTAGCCACCTCAAAATTTTCAAAAAATAAACAGATGAAGAAAAAAATGAGGATGAAAAATCAAAAGACAAAGAAAAGAAAGAAGAAGAACACAAACAATAAGTAGAAGATGTGGAAGAATAAGAAGATGGTGAAAAAAACAAAGATAAGGCAAAAAAAAAATTAAAGAAGAAATAACGATTACGTAAAGATGAAGAATTCTTGTTTGTCTTTGTTAAGTTGGCATGTGAGTTTAATACACTTATTTAGTATTTGCATTTGAAAGTTTGATTTTGGGTGATGTTTACTTTTTTGGATTTACTTTATTTGATCATGTATTTTTTAGATAATTTTTATAATTTTATTTGGTTTATAACATAAATTTTGTTTCTCATTTTTGAAATTCTTAGTCCGCGTAAGATGCGGACAAAACACCTACTTGGTTCATATATTTGAACGGGTTATATATAATCTATATGGGATTTAGAAATTATAATTGGTTTTGAAATATGATTTGTGTATATTAAAATAGCAAGATTTACCCTCGCTATTGAATCTTTGTATTTCGGATATAGCTTTTAAATCTTTCAAAATCTAATGTACATTTTGAAATCTAATAATAATTAAATCACGAATAACACAGGTTTTCAGCAAGTATTTAAAATGAATAACAGTTGATTTCGACAAAAAGAAAAGAAAATAATCACTAATCCAATGTAAACACATGATTTCGTTTGGAGTTTTAAATCAGTTAAATCTACTAACGAATAACCCCACAATGAAAAATCTATTAACAATAATTCATTCTTCTTTTATTATTAGTTTCTCTTTTGGTTGTTCTCTTCTTTGATATAAAGAAAAGAATAAGAAAAAATTTAGAGTATTTCCCAACTTTTAAGAGTCCTTCAAAGTTCAAACAAGCTTTATTCACACTTTGCGCAGGCTAGAAAGAGCAATGAGTTACGAAATCTCTTGCAACAAAAAGAAAAATACTAAACTATTGAAATGAAATTCGAACTTACGTATCATAGCTTTATGCGAAAATCGCATTCATTACTGCTACTCCAGTAGATACTGAGGGTAATTGTAATCCTGTTTCTGGACTTGACCACGTTTGAGGATAAGAGAGAAATCAAGATCGAACATTTGGATTTCGAGGCCGAATCCATCACCAACAACCACCACTAACCGTCCTTTGCTTAAGACTCCGTTCCTGATTAGCTCTGCTGAAAACGTCTTACCACGAAGACAGGACACAAGAATCCCAGCGATGTTTTGTCTTAACTCTTCCATTGAGAGCCAGAAGACCGGAACACCAATTCCCTTACCAATGACTGATCCTTTCACTCCAAGAAATCTATATCATAATCGGTGACTTGAGTTAATTTCATCACGAGTTGAGGCCAAGGAAACAAAAGAGCGGCTGTTAAGCTTTAAGTCTTAACGAAAAAGATGTAACAAAGAAAGCTGCTTACTCCTTTTCCAACATAGTGTACATTACGCTTCGACTTTTACTGAGAAGTGATACCTGAATGAGGCAAAAACCAAACTAATGTTGAGTTTAAGAAGCTAAAAAGGGATAACTCAAATAACACTGAAGTTTTCAACACAAAAATGTAAAAAGAAAGCTAGGCTTTACCAAAAGTTAGGCTTTACCATGTCTAGAACATCTCCTTGCGCTGAAGCAGGGTGCGAGCCAAGACTCTGTACGAAGAGAGAATCACTAAAAAATGGTGTGTAGATTTTTCATACAATGTTCTTCCCCATACAGATACCTACTATTAATGTTTGGCTGCGTAGTTATCAACTTAGAACCTAAAGAAAGCAAATAGCTAAAACTAATCAACCCAAAAGATTTTGTTATCGCTTTGACCTATCTCACAACGTAAAGATGTGTGAAAGAGACTTACCTTGAAAAACTTTGTCATGATGTTTAGCCAATCAATCATAACCGGAATCGTCACTCCTCGAATCAAAAGCGACGTGACGATAATACATACCCACCTGCAAAACCAGTTAACGATAAAACAACCAAGATTTGTTATCTAGCAACAAAGAGAGAGATATTGCAAACAAGAAGAACAACGCAAGAATATTTAATATATAACAAAGCAGACGAGTACCAGAATCAGAAGAAGCAAAGCAGATAATACAAACCCACTTGCAAAACAGTGAAAGATAAAAGGAATAACAAAGACTTTTATCTAGCAATAAAGAGAGATATATTGTAACCAGGATGAACGAAGCAAGATCCGTTCTTTATACCAATGCAGAAGAGTGATATACAGAGTTATCATGAACAAGCAAAGTTTTGTGAAAGCTTTACCACTGAGAATACGTGAAAGAGTGGAACAAAGCAATCAAGTGTTGAAGTGAAGCAAGAGCATCAGCAACATTGTGTATCGCATAGACATTAGAAACCGCAGATTTCAAAACCCAATCGGCGAGGGTTTCCACAGTGCCAGTCGAACCAGGGAAATTGAAGGTCGAAATGGTTCGATTTGACACAATTGCCGGAGAGAAACCCGAGCAGCCGCCGATTAAAGAATTTCGGTGGTGAATGAAACTGTGATAAATTCGCGTTTCTCGGATTTGGCGTGTAACGACTTTTTCTTCTTCGCGACGAGTCTGGAGAGGGACGAGACATGCGTAAGAGGATCGGTAACGGTGAATGTTAAGCACCGACCTGAGGGATAAACAACGGACGAGTGACATCGAATAGGTGAATCGAAACACGCCTGGAACGGGTAAAAAACCACAGTAGGGTTTACAGAGGAGGAAATCAAACGCGATAAAGTGAAGAATTTAAAATCGATTGCGAATCGAAAACCATGAAATCAGAGGGATATGATTATGAGGAAACACCAAAATTCGAAATTTACAGTTTAAAGGCGAGATTGTCCGGGATCAGATATTTCCGACGAACTACGCCGGCTTTGGGTTTTAGCGCGAGAGACGATTAGGTTTTAAGAGTTTTGGGTTGAGACGAACGAAGAAAACCTTCGCATTTTTGCATGTCTTTAAAAGTGAAGTAAAATTAACTTTTTTTTTCCGACGAAAATTAGCTTGAGGTAAGGGGAAAATCCCGGCTTTTTCTCATCTCTCTGATTTTTTTTTTTAATTCACTCAAGTAGATTTACCGCTTTTTTATTATATATTATATGATATTATTGGTGAGATATATTTGTGTATGAATATATGTATATATACTATATAAGAGAGACGAGGGAGAGATAGACGAGAGTGGAGAGGAATGATGTTTTCTTATTCTTATTGATTTCCTCTGTTCGATTATACAAGGGAGTGCCTATTTATAGCAGAGTTAAATACATAAAATATTTGCATTAAGTCGGCTAAAACTATAACCGTAGTGCACTTCTTAACATTCCCCTTTAATTATCTATCATACAATATTTTTAAAAAAAATTAATATAATCTTCTTTTTTTAATAAATAGTCTTTTCTTCGGATTGATGATTCTTGATTTCTACATCATTGGAATTGTAATACTTCTTCCGGTATCATGGATATCTTTTACGTATTTTTTGATGTTTTGTTAAAAACTTTATCATAGAAAAACCCAATAGAATAAAATCATGACCAGGAAAAAAAATATGCATGCACGTGCTTCATAATATTTTTTCTGAAAGTATTTCTATTTAAAAGTTAATTTTTGTGCATTTTTTTGCTGCCTCGTTAAAAATCTCTTCATTGAAAAACCCATGAGAATAAAAACCTTGATAAGGGAAAAAGAGTACAGCCACACATATTATCATAATTTTCCCTCTCAAAACATCATCATCTTCAGGATATGCATTCCAATTATATATACTATGTTTTTGAGGAATCTTTATAAATAGAGTCTTAGTGAACAAACCGTATGATCGTCATTATGAATCCTTGTCATTCTGAATCCTTGGACTTCTGGTCCATAAATCGAGTTGGTCAAGCTCTTCTCATGAAATATAATATCCAGACTTTCTAGGATCTCTTATTTGAAATTCTTCTTTTGATCAATATAATTTGACCAAACAAAATTTTCAGATGCTTCAGGTATTTTTGATCCTTCTAGGATTTTAGTCAATACATTACTGAATGTGATTACATTCATGACCGGAGAACACCAATTTCCAGTCTTTGAGAAAAACATTGTGCCACAAACCAAGCTTTATATCTTGTGACTTTGTTTTCTCATTGTTTTTGAACAAGGACCCATTTGGTCTCGAATGACATTACATCTTCAGGTGTAATGACCATAAATCCAAAGAGATTTTCTTTTGTTGATTCTTCTATAATCGTTTCATTTTATTCAATAATTTTCTTTCTCTTCAGGAGAATTTAAGAGTTCATTAACCTCCCCCTTTTTTAACTAAACCTTATGTTCATTTACTTTACTCCGATAAATTTTGTTCTTCAGGAACATTAATATTTGTGGAGCACTTCCAAATTTTATGAACTTCAAGTTCGAAATATTTTGTAGGGAGGATTAAATAACACTTCCTTTAGAAATGCTTAAGTCTGAGCTTTTCTATATGTTTGATCCTACTGGGATCTTTCGAGATGAGATGAGATATTCAATCGGGATACCTGCAAAAACCAACTTCAAAGTTTCTAAAATAAAATAATCTCAAATCAATCTTACCTCGAAAGATATTTATCGAGTTGAGTTCCCGGGAGCATAATTATTATATCATTAATTCTTCAGGGATTAAATCCTTCAGGGATTTTTCATTTAAAGATGTTACAACATTTATAAGACATAATTCAAGTCGTTCATGTACTGACAGACCTAATACATTGCATCCACCACTTTGAATATTGTAATCAATATCGGGTATTTGAATATGACTTTGCGTAACAAGTCATATTGTATGGTCATTTTCTCAAACACATACCCTTTTGATGCTTGGACTGCTGGTCCAATAAATTTCTCATTTTTCATATGAGATTAATATCGACTTGATTGCCTTTTTTTTTAATTCTACACTCTTCCACAGAGGTAGATTTATGATCCTCATTTATATCAAACGATATCTTGTTTATACTGTCGACAGTTATTTTTATCTTTGGTTCCACACTGTTCCGTAATAACATGATTAATCGAGATCTCTTTATCATTATCAATGATATCATTCAGGTACCTGATTTATTTTTTATTAACCATATCATTGGGTCTCTTCAGGAGATGCATCCTCTTTTCAACATAGATTTTCTCTCTTCCTTTTGAGAATTTTATATATAGAACCAAAATAGTCTATTACGTTTATTATGTGCCATAGACGTTTTATTGATAAATCGTCTTTCACTGATATATTCTTGGAGCATTTTGAGCTAGAATTGAAATTTTCTTTCATTGTATGTCTGGCATTTACATATGAATTATCCCTTGAACTTCAGGTTCTAAATCATTTAAACGAATATCCATAATGATAATTCATTTTAAGAAATCTCACTCATTAGCTATTCCATACCAAAACATGGAGAAATTTCACCATTGTTGATCTTGCAATTTTTTTTGAATCGCTTTATAAATTATCCATAAAATCTATTTTAAGTGTGAACATAATCTTCAGGATGTTCCACTACTTTGATATGAATTCTTTAATTCTCCCCCTCGAGATGATGATACTTCAAGTTCATCCATCTCGAAATGAATCCAACATTAGGACCAAAACATATCTAAATAACCCATCTTTAGGCCTTGTATTATGTATCAAATCCTTTTTTGGGACTCTTAATACTATGTGATGATGGCTTTTCTTGTCCAATCATCTTAAACTGATTTCACTTACTCGGATATAATTTGAGGACTGCTTAAAGAAATCCAATCATCATATCTAATAATCATTCAACCAAAAATGGTGATTTATCACTCATGATGGTATTTTTTTTTTTATCAAGACATGCTATGTGTGAAAAGCTTCGGGTTTTTTCCACATAAACTCTCAATACCATTATTACACCGGGATGGTTTAAACCGGTTATATTATAGATTAATAAACTTCAGGTTTATCATTTTAAACAATTTTTGCCATCTTTATGCATGTCTCCATCATTACTTTTCTAGAACGTTTTGTTCTGCTTGAACATCTAGCTCTTCTGGAGCATTTTGTTCTTTTTAGAGCTTCCCAATAGCTTTGAATTTCTCTCTTCAAGAGTGTTTATTTCTTCAAGAACTTCTAACTTTTCATAAATTTCTAGCTTTTTCGGAACTTTTAACTCTTTTGGAGTTTTTAATTCATGAAACTTCCGCAGCTCCTAATTCTTCTGGAGCTTTTAACTTTTGAAATTTCTGGAACTTTTTAATTCATGAAACTTCTAGAACTTTTAACTCTTCGGGAGATTTTTAACTTTTGTAAATCATTTTCAGAATATTTTAGCTTTTCTGGAGCTTTTAGTTTCTAGAGCTCTCTAACTCTTTCGAAAGTTCTGATTTTTTTAAAACATATTTCAATGTCTTTAACCATACTGAAAAAATAAATTAAATAATTAATACAAATTAAATAATAGTTAGCATGTATGTTAATCATCTTCTGGACGAATGTTATTAAGTAGTTCTTCCGGAACGCTTTCATCTATATCTTCTAGATATATTTTTGTTATATAATTTTTTCCGAACTTTTTCATATATGTCTTCTGGATATATTTTTTCATTCGGTTTTTCAAGAACTTGTCTTAAATGTCTTTTACACATTTTTTTTTTCAAACGGTTCTTCTGGAACCTAGTATAAATGTTTTCAAGACATTTATTATATGGAGACTGTGATCTGAGGAGACAACTACCATATGATCATAAGCCAATCATATATTTCATCTGAAGAGACATAGTCTACCATATGATCATGATCGTGAAAGCATAGCCTCCATAATGATCGGTTTGAATTAAACATAAAAGTAGATAGATTGAACATAAAATAAACCTCACATTTTTGATATATGAACGGTATAGAAACGGATCATGCTGATAAGGTATTATATATAATATGATATTATTGGTGAGATATATTTTGCGTATGAATATATGTATATATACTATATAAGAGAGACGAGGGAGAGAGAGACGAGAGTGGAGAGGAATGATGTTCTCTTATTCTTATTGATTTCCTCTGTTCGATTATACAAGGGAGTGCCTATTTATAGCAGAGTTAAATACATAAAATATTTGCACTAAGTCGGCTAAAACTATGATGGTGGTGGTGGAATAATTATCCACTTCGTAACATTTTTTTCTTTTTCTCAACCACAAAATAAAAAAAAGAATATATATCTCTTCGTTTGATAACCTAATCTAAAAAAAAAAATTCTTAAATAGTATCTTCAAATTTCAGATATACTTCACACCGGCACCGTGTACGTTTAGCACCACTGTCTTTTAATACATGCAAGTAAAGCAGTTGAACAGGATTTTTGTTAAAGTTTTATTTTTTAAGCAGTTGAACAAGATCTCGAATCAAATACAAAAATGTTAACTATATATAAAGTAAGACCTATATTTTACTATAAAATATATATTACAAAACTAGGAGAACTCACATGCTATTATCTCTTGGATTATATCAATTTTTTCTAAACTTTTAACCAAAAAAAAAAAAAAACTCTAAACATTGGATCAATGTATGGGATTATAGATACCTACGTAATCTCTGTTTCAATTCAATAAAACAAAGAATGCTTGTTAAAATAAAAATAAAATATCGAAGAATGGTCTTTCTCTAGAGCCAAAACATTGGCTCCTATGAATGAAATAAAATAAATAAAAAACTAGTTTGTTTTTTTTTTATTATTATCCGCTCAATCAAAAGCCCAACTATTCTCCCTTCTAACCTCTGCTTCTTCCTCTGGTGTATAATTGTTCTCGAGGTTGAGCAACTCTCGTATTTCTTCTGGAGTTTTACATTCAGAAATCATGTCAACGACTGTTTCGCAACCAAGAAGAAGTAGGCTTTGGATGTTCAGGTTATGCGCAGCAATCA